GACATGAAGTGTAGTTTATTACAAAATCAAACACAAACAGGTTCAAAAGGAGACACTTTTATTCATTTTGTTCAAATCAAAGTGTGTCAAAAAAGTGTTTCCTGGCCTGAGAGATCAATATTTTGAATAAAATTGGATTCACATTGCAAAATAAATACTTTTGGCATGTTAAATCTTTGAAAATCACAGTGAAACGAAGGTCATAACTCTTTTTCTCATAGCTGAATTTGAAATACTTTTTATTTACAGTGAAATGTGAACAGGACTGCTGAGGGCAGCTGCTAAAACAAATCATATATAACAACCAATAAACTACGACCGCTCACCTGTCATAAGTGCAAAACAGAATTATTATTTGCTAGGTCATCACCAATTTATTTTTCATGGACAATGCTGCTTTGTGATGCTATCTATTTATTAAGCCAGTTTATTGATATAACAGACACTTTCCTGTTTGCAGTTTACGTTGTTTTTGGCTAGACATATTTGTTAGATACACCTGTTCAACTGCTTGTTAACAGGAATATCTAATCAGCCAATTATATGGCAGCAACTCAATGCATTTAGGTATATAGACACTATGAGAACAACCTGCTGAAATCCAAACTGACCATCATAATGGATATCACTAGGGAGGAATGTTTGCAGGAGCTTGTGTTTTTGCAAAAAATAATTTTATAGTTGTTCAGCATCAAATGTAACAGCTTGATATCTGCTGCCATCCTGTGTTTGTTTAGAAGGTCAGGAGCTTCATTGTGTGCACACTTTATTAAAGTACACGCAGCAGCTTTTATACTACTTTAAAACAAACACATCATCCTGCTGCTGTGACAGCAGGAGCTTCAGAATAATTCAGTCAGTTTATAATTAGTATCATCAAATTATGCTGTGTAGGTGCTCTGCAAACATACTGAAAGAGAGAATAATGTGTGTGCGTGCATGCATGTGTGTGTGTGTGTGTGTGTTGTGGTCTTAGGATACAGACGGACGACTCCCCTCAGAGTTATTACATCTCCGTAGCCTACGATGGTACGATCTCTTCTGAGGACGAGATTAAGATTGTCAGTACCTGTAAGATGGATGTCCACAAGTTCCCCTTCGACACGCAGACATGCAACATCACCATTGGTTCTGCAAGTCACTGTGGTGAGGGAGGATGAGTGTTTTGGTGTGTTTTCTCCTGCTTTCATAGTTGTTTGAACTCTGAAACGTTTCTCTCATTCTTTCCGTCATTTCTCAAAACAGTAGATGAGATGCGACTTTCTCCTTTCTCCAACTCCTCCCGGGCCACGCAGTTTTCCCGTGAAGTGATGAAAACACAGGGAGAGTGGGAATTCCTCCAACTATCCATCTCCAAAGTCAATATGACCTTTGGAAATAAACTGTGGGAAAACCTCATATACACTGTACGTAATACACAGAAAGAAAAACACAAGTGGCAAATTACATTAAAAAACAAAAAAAAAACAAGATAAGAGACGTCATTAACATTTACATCTCTACAAGCCCAGTTCCAAAAAAGTCAGGATGTTGTGTAAAATGAACAGAGAAAACAAGGAAATGTTTAAACTGAGACATTTTTCTATTTCATTAAAATATTTCTTGAAATAAAAGCTTCTCGTTTTCATAAAACAGGAATGCTGTAGAACTGACCACAATGGTCTTGTGATAATAACTTTATATGACCAAATCAAGCAATTTATGATAAATAACCAATTTTAAAAGTTACTTCTGCAATACTACACCCACACAATATGATAACTTTCACACAGGGTAAATCTAATCTAACCACTGAACCCGTTTTCCCAGTTCAGCATGAAGAGGAGGCCACTCCTCCACGTCATTAACTTCCTGTTGCCCATCTTATTCTTCCTAACTCTGGATCTCGCCTCCTTCTTCATCGCTGACCATCGAGGAGAGAAGCTGGGCTTCAAAGTCACCGTCCTGCTGGCAATCTCCGTTCTGCTGCTCATCCTGAACGACATCCTGCCCTCCATGTCCAACAAGACCCCACTCATAGGTAAAGACTCTTTCCTTAAGGGATGATGTTTAAGTGTGGTGACGTATTTTATGTATGTAGAAGAACCAGATACCAAAAGAAAAAAAAATAACTGTTGCTTGTTTTGTCCTTTCAGCAACATACTGCATTGTGATTTTTGCCCTTATGCTGCTCAGTCTGCTGGAGACAATTTTGGTTACACATCTGATAGAAAAAGACTCCCAAGTCAAACCTAAGGTGAAGAACGAACATAAAAAAGCCAAAACTAATAACAGCGATGCAGGTGAGATACGTAAAAAGCTTCTCAGATACTGATCACAGATTTAGTCTATAGTATCAGCCTGCTAAAACCAGAATCCAGATACTTGCAAAGGAAAAATGCTTTCAAACATTAAATGCAGTAAACATGAAAAGTGTCTGGAAACACAAGCAAACCTATTGAAAAAGAGAACAAAAAGAAGGCGATGATTTGCATGCTGTACATTTAATTTCAAAAGCTTCATCTTATCTTTAGTTAGCAGATGTTTCATGTTTTAAATGTGTGTAAATTCTTGTGACAAACCTACTGTTTTGCTTTCAGAAGACAAAAGACAGACCTGCTGTTCCTGCATCTGCATAGTGTCCAGTGATGAGCAACAGCATGAGCTACTGCCTGTTGCTGAAGTGGTACAGTTTGAGCATATGCATGCAGATATTGCATTATTATAACATGACAGGAGAGCAAAATTGTATTAACATCTTTACGAGATCTTAATTAATCAGTGACAACAAAACAAATGTGTAAATTCATCTTGAGTGGGATGAATAAGATCTTCAGAGCACACTGCCTCCGGATGCATTTTGACTGGCCAACATCAAATCAGGGCTCAGATTCCTGTATGCAGACTAAAAAGAAAAGATACTTTGTTGTGAAGAATACAACACAGCCTTACAGAAATGGAAGAAATTAGCATTGATTATGTTACAGTATTATTTGGGGAACCTCTGGGGTCCTGATATATTCCCCTGGACATTACTGTCACATGAAAGTAATGCTTTGGATAAAGCTGTTGTTGGTCAGTGATAAATTATGTGCTCTGTAGCGCTGGAGGAAATGTTTTAAGTAAAATATCATTGCTCTGATGATGAAATAAACTTGCTGTAAATAACTGATACTAAGATTATTTATAAATGGGATTAAGTTCCCTTAAACACACAAGAAAAGCTTTCAAAAACACAGTTTTGGAGGAAAATTACTTAGAATTGTTCTTTATTCAAGGTTAAAAATGATCGTTGGTACAATAACAGAAAGTTGTTAAATTATTAAAAGTACATGCAGTTTTAATAAAAACAAAGACCAAACTGTTGTTGCAGCATTAAAACACCAGGGGTCACTGCAGATGGATGAGGTTACAGAGTGTTACTTGATGGTTCAGTGCAAGATTCAGTAGTTTTACACATGAACCCTCACATTTATTAAGAATAAGTAAGCGGTGGCACTAAATAAAAAGTAAATCGCTAGTATTCACAGATGTTAGATTGTTGTAAAATATTTATTTTCATTATCTTTAAAATTGTGAGTTTCTCGTGTGTCAAAACCTATTTCCTGTTTAATCAAACTATTTGAACAAATATTGAGAAAAAACCTTGTGTTAATAAGCGTTACAGTATAATAGAGGTCCTATACTGAGCTACCTACAAAATAGCTCAGTAAATATTTTGTAGGTAAATATGATTTTTTTTTTTTAAACGTGGGAGCTGCACCCAAAATAAAATAAAAAAAAATTGCTGGCATCTTTGTGTTAATGCAGAGGCCTGATATATTTTTTCCCATCAGGCCTCATTTCAGCGTGAAATAGTCATACAAGATTTGATTTAGCTGGAAACTAGAGCAGAGGTAACGTAGCAAAGCAAATATAGGCCAGTTATTATGCTGATTGTGCTCATAATATCAATTTATGTCCATTCAATGTTTTTTAGACTCCAGATTAGTGTTTTTGCCACTATTGCTCATGATGCAATATCACTCTCATCACCATAAACTCTCTCTGACATCCTTCTTTGACTGCTTGACTTTGTGCAGGTTAACAACAGTAATCATACAGGAGAGTATAATGTGCTGGTGCTGATCCTGGAGGAGCTGAAGGAGCTGAAGAAATCACTAAATCTGCACCTCAGTGGCAGCGAAAAGGGAGGGAAGTACGTCCAGTTGGCAGCCAGAATCAATAGGGTTTTCTTCATTTTCTATGCTGTCACCGTGTTGCTCTTTCTCTCTCTCATGTACACTGAGTGGAACACTTAGAAATGTAGAGTATTTCCTATTAATACTACAGTTTTTGTACTGTAGAGTATTTGTGTCAAAATATGGCTTGTATTGTCTTTTTGTATTTTAGGACATCATGTTAATGTTGTAAAACCTTGTTATTTTTTGTTTTATATACACTTTATATAGTTTTGCTTTCAACTTTTACATAGTTAAAGTTAGATGATCCTTCAGACATGTATTGGAATGAGAATGATCGAAGTGTTAACCCTAAACTTTTGGCTTGATTAATCAGCCATCACTTTATAGGCCAAGCTGTTGTATTATGCTTAATGAATGCTGAATGAAGTGTCCAATAAACCAATAAACAGAAAAAACCAAGAAACAAAAAACCCCAAACTACTTAAACAAAGACTCAGTTTGTGGGCCATATAAACAAATATTATCATCTCAGAATATTTTTTAATAAATAAAGCCTTAAGCCATCACGTCTCTTTATATTTTGTTTCCAATGAGTCAGACATTCATGTAATTTTTAAAAGTGGTCTTCAGCAACAGTTCCCCAGGCTTTCTGAAGGTCTTGAAAAGTTTCAGGATGTTTTTTATTCAATTATTTGTTTGTTAAGTCACTTAACACTGACATATGAATCATTTAAGCATAAAAAGCCACCTAAATCAAAGAATGAACCGGTGTTGTGTCTGTACATGCCAGACAACAACAACGAAAACACTGTTTTGAAAATGCACCTTTAGACACTGTGTTGTTAAAAGTCTATTACATTAACATTAAGGGAAGTTGTTCCCATTTCTTTAGCTGAATTTACAAAAAAATGCCAAAGAAGAAGAACATGTTTCTCAAAGCGCTTTATATCAGGTGTGCAGCGTGCACTTTGACTGGATATGTGAAAGGCAAAAGAAGATGTGGCAGGCCTAAAAAACTAGCAGATGAACAGTATCTGAAAGGCTATCCACAGCCTGGTCACAACCAAAAACATCAATATTATTCATATAGTATATAGCATCCCAAAAATCTGTAAATGTTTTGTTGTAGACTCAAAGAGAAAAAATACTTCAAAAAGTGATTTAACAGTAACAAGATGAAAGAAACCTCAGACGAGCAAAAGGAGAGGGTTCCTTCTATCGGTGCAGGCAGGCATGTCATAGATGTTTGCTACAGGAGAGCAGCCTGGCAGATTAGTGTAAAGGATATTTGAGATTAAATCCTGCCTGCATCTAATCTAATGTAAACTGGACAGGGCAGTAAATCAGTCAATATCAAAGGGGAACATCTATCTTGGACACACAAAAACACGCACTCACTGACCTCACTGATTTCATATTTCTGACGTTCAATCTCTCCCGCCTGTCATACTTCAGTCCTCCTTCACCTCACAGCTCATTTGTTAAAACTAATCATGTTCATTCTCAGCCACCTGATATCGTGTTGTAAACATATTATGAGAAAAGAGGCCAGCTAGTAATTTCATTCAGCACAGGGTGGATCTGGGGGTTAGTGGACTGTTCTTCTTTTATTGTCTACGCCATTGAATCAGCCATGCTGGCGTGCACCACTTTACCATTTGGACTTTAAACTGCACATTAAAAACAAAAGCAAACACACATTAAGGTGTTCTTTGATAGTAATGATAAATTCTGCAAACCTTTAGTGTTGTCATTATGACTATTACCAAACTTAACTCAGGATGAGTTCATTTTAGCATGCCTTGAATAATTTTGTCACTGAGCATTTAGCCACTGATTATATTCTGAGGCCCTTAAGACTCTTTAGCCATTTTTGGAAACCATTAGTTATTGTCTTATAAATAAAAATATTGCCGATATTCCGACCAAGACTTCCTGTTTTATGCGCCAGTCATTCTTTACAGTAGAACAGTGAATGATAGTGTATTAAACAAGGTGAAGACTGGTTTATCCTGGCAGGTGTTCTGATAATCCAGTATTTTCCAGCGACTAGAAATTTACAGAATGGGTGGCTTCGTGGACCCCTAGCAGGAAATAAGCTTTGTGTGTGTCTTCAAGTGCATTTGAGTTTGTTGGTTTTACAGCTGGTTTTACGGGGTACGGTTTATTTACTTAAACAATTTTTCTGCAAATCAAAGCTGCATCTCCAGTGGTGTTTTTGTGTATTATAGGATTAAAGTAGAAACAGCAACCTTTTTCACTCACTATGTTTTTATACACCACTCTGCATTTACTTATTAGTTGTTATTCATCTCTAATCGTCTTCCGCAGCATGTCCTTGTTCTGTCTTCATCCCCAACCAGTTGTGGTAGATGGCCACCCCTCCTTGAGCCTGGTTCTGCTGGAGGTTTTGTCACGATCCTGGGTCTTTTGACCCAGCGTTTTGAGATTTTGTTTATTTTGATGTTTATGTTTAAGTTCATTAGGTTATCTAAGTTCATTTGTTTATTAGACTCCCCTTGTTCTTTCAAACCCTGTGTTAAGTCTCTCTTGTCCTTTATGTGTTTCATGTCTGCATGTCTTTTGTTGTCAAGTTCATGTAGTCATGTCTGCGTTTTTATGTTTCCTGTTTTGTTTTGAAGAGGTCCTGTGTTCCTAGGTTAAATGTGTTTAGTTTTACTTTTCCCCTGTGAGTTCATTATGTTCATGTGGGTTGCGCTGTTTTGATCTTTATAGTTATTATTACGCTAGGTTTGTTTATGGTTATTGTGGTTATAGTTCTTAGGTTTTGTTATATGGCTTCCTGTGTTGCATGTTTTGCTTACGTGGTGTCTTTCTGTCCCATGTTTCAGGTCCCTATGTTCTGTCTCCCAGTCTGTTAAGTTTACATATCTTGAGTTCAGTCAGTGTGTTTCCTGTTTTACTTTGAAGGTCTGTGTCTCATGTCAGTGTTTCTAGTTTTGCTTCCCTTGTCTCGTCCAGCCTAATTACTCCCAGCTGTGCTCTCCTTCTGTGTCTCATGTCCCTCGTTATCCCTCGGTGTATTTAAGCCCTGTGTTTCTCTTTGTCAGGGTTGTAGTGTATGAGTGTATGCCCAGTATCAGGGCAAAATGTGCAAAGTTCACCTTTGAAACTTTGGCTATTTGCTGCTGTAATAGCAGCGTAGTAGAATTTAAAATGAAGAAAAGAATTAAAGGTCAAATTTGACAGCACTTTACATTAAGAATGATTTTTATCATAACTGAATTGCCTGTTTTTGTTTTTTTGTTTGCTGTAGATGGAGTATATTCTGAACGTGTCTGCAGCTATCAGGATGTTTTGAACTACCTAAACCTAACCAAAAACAATAAGCTCTTTATGATGACCCAGCCAGTGAAAAATTACAAAAACCCAACACGGGTTTCGCTTGAAATTCTGCTTTATGCCATCTTAGATGTGGTAAGTGCTCCAGGATTTATTTGTAAAGTCTTTAAATGTCAAAATTTGTTACATTGCTTTTGATGAAATAATATCATTATCATCAAGTAATATCGATATTATTTTGTTTTTTATAATCTCATTTCCTCCCAAAGGCTTCATTTAAATGAATCAACATTTTGCCAAATACAATAATTCCCTTTTACTCTAATGTTTCTGTGAAGAGATAAGCGGGGGAAACTGCTAGTTTAATTTTATTTCTATTTCAGCTTTATTTGTAAGGGAAAAATTTGTATCAAAACACGCAGACAGTATCACAAATGATCTGATTCCTACCACATAAATATCAAATATAATTAAATAATGTTTCAAAGCTTTACATAAAAAAACAAAGAAGCAAACCAAACCAAAGTGAAGTGTAAAGAATAGTTATTGTTGACAAAGCTGGTTTTTCACCATCCGCCTGACACACTGAAAATTATACAGTTGACAAACCTGCTCAACAATATCTCAGCTGTTTGGCCCACACACAAACATTAATGCAATCTTAGATTTTATAGTGGGTTACATTTCAGGTTTTGGTTTCCAAAGCTCAGGAGCAGTTAAATCATGTACACCCACCAAGTACTTAGATTATTAGAAAGACCACAGCTCTCCCTTTGAGCCCAAAGCAGCCCGAGCTGTTATGTCATATAGATCAGAGATTTGAAAGGCATCTTGGCCATGAAATAAGACGTAAAGCCATTTATTACATTATTGAGTGGCATTAAGAGTTCAAATATCAACCAAAGAGTGATTTTGTCACATATCTGTTTTTTACAGGTTGAGAAAGACCAAAAGTGTTTGGACTGTGATGGTGAGTTCTGCCACTAGATGATGCATAAAACTGAACAACAAACAACTTTTTTCTTTCTGTCCTTATTTATTTATTTATTTATTTATTTTATCTTTCCTTGATTTTGTTTCAATGGCAGAGGTGGCACAATGAATATATTTCCTGGGATCCAGATCAGTTTTGTGGGATTAATAATGTTTCTCTACCTATTGAGGTTTTGTGGAAGCCAGATCTCACTATTGAAGAGATGTAAGTATAAATATACACATCTCTGATTTCCCTCTGATAGAACACATGTCTTTCCAGAAAGTCAAGCCCAAACCTTTAACTGGGACCAGTTGCAATCATTTGGAGGTGTTTGTGTGATTCAATTCAATTCAGTTATATTTATATAGCACTAAATCTTAACAGTAGCTCTTCAAGGTGACAATAAGGCAAAGAAATGGGCTTGATGTAAATGATAAATTGAACAATGATAGCATGCTTTTTTATGGTCTATAAACAAATATCAGTGCACGGTGTCATAGGGTTGCCTCTTGATCGGTGGTTGCTAGGCTACAGTGCCACTGTGATTTTGTGAGATAAGCAGTTAGGATGGGTATATGTACTTATGTTTGGATGAATGGATGGATCAATCTCTGACTTACATAAGGTTTTGTACCAAGACAGCTACAGAGAGGTATACAGAAGAAATAACGATGACTTGCTATTTGTGCTTTTCTAGTTTATGAACAGTGTTGGGTAAGTTACTTTAAATTAGTAACTTAGTTACATTACTAGTTACTTCTATCAAAAGTAACTCAGTTACTTCAAGTTACTCGTTACTTTCAAA